CCAGTCTTTCCCCTCAGCCGGTGTTTCGGCCTTGGCCTGTTTCCAAGACCGTTGAGGGCCACAATGCAGTCTTTGATCTTCAGATCTCTCCTTAGTGTCTCTGCAGTTCTTGGATAACATCATGTCAGATTAGTGTCATCTCAAATAAGCCCTGAGGGGGAACGGTAAGAAAGTAGATCTGAAGAATGATAAACGGTTTTAGTGGCCATTTATTCAATGCACCAAGTTCCTCTGACACTTATCCTTAAAGGTATCTTAGTTCTGACTTGTGTTGCATGACATTGAAAACCAAATATTATTATATCTTTTAATTTCATATTTTTTGGTATGTTTTGGTCCTTCCCCTCACACTTGCACACCCATAGAGCCCCATTGTACAGCACTAGGTACCTGTTAAAGACTGGTGACAGCAGAGGGTGTAGTGAGAAGTTAAATAACCTACTTTAATAAAAAACTAACAGTCTTTGTTACATACAAATGACATGTTTAGGTGATTAGGCGCGTTCACACCAAGTACTTTTCCCACAAAGGTTCCTGAGAACTCTTTAGTTCTCATGAACTAAGTACAGATCGCGTTCACACCGGAAATAAGTCCCTGGGGGTGGGATTACGCAAATGAAGCCGCTGACGTCACTTCTTCTTCTTCTGCTTTGGGTTTACTGGCAGGCCACAAACCACTTCACGGCGTATACTGCCACCCGAAGTCCCCGGCCGGAAGTCCCCGGAGTTGGGGAAGGCTTCAGTCGAAGCTGCTGGGACTCCCAGCAGCTTCGACTGAAGCCTTCCGAGTAAATCGCCAGAACGCCGACACCTCCTCATCTCCACCGCTCCCATGTTTTATTTTGTGTTGTCATAAGTTAGTCTCTCTGCGTTTCTGCGCTGGGCTAATGCTAATGCTAATAATGCTAATGCAAGGATAATAAAATGGCGGCTTCACAAAACGTTTTGGGAGTTTGACGGGGCGTGGTTTGCAATCCGCCCAGCCAATCAGACACAGGAACCTTTTTCTCCCACAAAGTCCCGGCTCTCTAGCAGGGACGGAAAAGGGGGTACAAAGGTTCTGATTAACTAATTTAGTTCCTGGGACTTTTTGGTTTGAACGCAACTAAATCGTAGTTCTCAGGAACCTTTGTGGGAAAAGTACTTGGTGTGAACGCGCCTATTGGCATCCTTACTTTTGTGGGAGAAACTACCTCTGGAGGGAACACAGAGATTTTAGCCTCTGCAGACCATTTACATGTACAAATACATATAGAACACACTGGAAAGGGAAAAAGCATACTAGGGCCTCTTTTAAGTGATATTCAACAACTATTAAATCATGCCAACATAACATTTCACACTCTAAATATGTGTTTAAGTGGCTCTTATGAAGGCAATTAAGTCGTAAAGATGGTAGGAGTCCATTTCTATCTTTAAGTGGACGTGCCCATCACAGCTCTTTGTTTGCGTGTGTTTACGTCTGTGGAGCTTTAACCTGTTTACTATGCCACTGTCTGCTGTCATAAGTTTGGCACAGTGACATTTAGCTGTGAGCTATTTTTAACTCTGCTCCACAGATTGACACACTAACACACACACAACATTTTACGCAGTCTTTGATGTGGCATGCCCTGCCCAGTCCAGCAGACACACACCAGGCTATATGAAGGGGATATAGGAAACCAACACACGTATATCAACACCAACATTACACGCTTCTTCAAAATCTAAACTAGGACACTCGTCTGCACTCTGGAGTCCTCATGTTTTATTGTTGTTTGACTGCATGGGGTAAGGCTTCATAATATTCTGTACACGTGAAAAAACACTGCGACCAATGTGTGAATATTTGACAAGTTTTGTAATTTCATTTGTGTTGATTTAAGTAAAGCCATGTCAGTTAAAGTATTTTGAATTTAATTACTTATTTTAGCTTTGTTGTTGTGTCGGTTTTGCTGTTGTCTTGTGGTTGTTGTTTTTTTTGTGTTGCTTTAAAATGGAAATAGATTTGTCAAAAAAAAGAACATTTTTAATTTCATCCAATCTACTGAAATATTGGTCATATTATTACTTTAAGTAAAAATAAACTTCATGTTAATGGTTTTGCGGATGTTAGAATGCCCAAAAGTATTTGTGATTATTTGAAATGAACAATATGGGGTTGGTTGTAAGAGGCACGATCCTAAGGCAGTATGTGTGTTGTTGCATTGCTTTGTTGACAGATGCAGATCTAGTGAATGTTGGCCACTTCCTGCATTTCTCTGTCAGATAAGAGCTTCACAGCTTCGCTTTGATTTCCAGAAGCTCTCTTCTGGATCTGCCTAGAAAGTAAAAGTACAACAGCTAACCTCTAGACATTAACGGCGTAATAGGGATTTGTGTTTGAAATACAGATCTTCTCACTGAGCTTCATCAGCTGGACTCCACAGGGTCTCTGTGTCTGGGGTTACAAAAAGAGACACGCTGTCACAAACATGACATGTGCCACTGCAGTCTGAGTGTGTGTGTGTGTGTGTGTGTGTGTGTGTGTGTGTGTGTTGTGTGTGTGGTGTGTGGTGTGTGTGTGTGTGTGTGTGTGGTGTGTGTGTGTGTGTGTGTGTGTGGTGTGTGTGGTGTGTGTGTGTGTGTGTGTGTGTGTGTGTGTGTGTGTGTGTGTGTGTGTGTGTGGTGTGTGTGGTGTGGTGTGTGTGTGTGTGTGTGTGGTGTGTGTGTGGTGTGTGTGTGTGTGGTGTGTGTGTGTGTGTGTGTGTGTGTGTGTGTGTGTGTGTGTGGTGTGTGTGTGTGTGGTGTGTGTGTGTGTGTGTGTGTGTGTGTGTGTGTGTGTTGTGTGTGTGTGTGTGTGTGTGTGTGTGTGTGTGTGTGTGTGTGTGTGTTGTTGTGTTGTGTGTGTGTGTGTGGCTGACAGGAAACAACAGGCAGGAATACTAATGCAACCATTTCAATCCTCTCTATGCTCAAAGTGGTTCAATCCCCTCATTTCGGATCTGTTTCTCAACTTTAATTTCAGTGTTAAAGGGCCCATGTCATGCTTTTCCGGTTATTACCCGTCCCCTTGTGTTATGAAGGTTTTTCTGCATGTAAACGGCCCAAATGGACCAATCCGCGGAGCACCTCACACACCAGGATCCCTCCGCTAACTAACAGGGAGTCCCATTGACTTGCATAGAGCTCCCTGAACGCTGGTAACAGACGAGTTGGGATGGCGGAGAAATGCTCTCCGCAGACCCATTGACTCACAGCGTTAGAAACCTTTTTCTTTCTCAATATCAAGCCACACTTATTGTTTTTACTTCGGCTGTGAGTGTTTGTGTGCTCAGGATGAGTTTCGCTTGTTCTCGCTGTATCGCCGACCCGGAAACCTGTCCTCCTCACAGCAACGAGCCTCGCAACGTCCCGACCAATCAGAGCACACTGGGCTCACAGGGAGGGGGGGGGGGGCAGGAGCTCCAACAAGCCGTTTAGGACAGAGAGTGAATACACAGACTATACAGAGATGCTGTGAGAAACCAATGTGTGTTTGGAACAATATAAATATATTCTAGTCGACCTCAACAATGGAATTATGATCAGTAGAAATGGCCATGACATGGGACCTTTAATTCTTTCTATGTAGTTTTTTAACATACATATAATATACAAAACTGAGGCATTTACCAATGTCAAATAATTTCCGATGTTTCAAAATGTTTAAACTGGTTTTCTAGAAAAACTTAAGTTACTCAATATTTGCATCCATATTTGCATAAATCTATCGTTTTACATCCACTGTCCTTAAACATATGTGACCAACTTTTAGTAAGTAGTCTCAACCATAGGCTTTAACTTGTGATATAAATCAGAGATTATTAAAATATACCTATTTATGAAAAGAAACATGATCGACTGTTTGCTATCCTTCATAACATAATATTAGATTCATCTTTCTTTACCTCTGGTTATCCGTCTTTTTGCTTTTCAAATGTTTCCATATTTCTCTGAGGCTTTTTTATCTAGCGTAATTTATGAGTTTTCCTCAACTACTGTTATTATCCCTCTATAATGTGCCTGGTGAACTTCACAGTGAACTTCATGTGTTGCAATGGCCTGGAAAGTGTAACAGTGCAATAAGGCTATCCGTCAGGACTGCTGTGTAACGGGGCAATACTCTACTTTTTTATTATCTTCTTTTTTTAACATGAATCTACCATGATCCGGTGTCGAAAAGCACACTTTGTGTTGTACTTTCTTCTGCTTTCATGACCATCCCTGTTTGCTAATATCCCCTCTTTACCTTCCCTTGATCTCCTCTCTTCTGCTGATCTAGCCGTGACCTTTGCGTGTCTATTTCATGTCAAAACATTCGTCAAATATTGGACTAAATTATACGGTAACTACAGCTGGGATTCCCCTCCGGCGCTCATGATGTTTTTGTTGAAGAGCTTACAATGACAAAGCGAATGTCAAGTGCTGTTTTGAAATGTTTATGGATGGAGGATTTTAAGCTTTACTCGTACCTTAATTTTGTTCTTGTCAGCTCTATCTATCTCTCAAACCGTTCTACCATCCTTTAATCAGTTCTCACGAAAATGCACTTCTTATTCTAAATATCTTGTAATTGTGATGTACGTTATGTCTGTTTAGATGAGTGCAATTCGAACGCGATTTGCATTGAATTTCCTTTGATCCGAGTAGAAAATATTGCGCTTAACAGTAGAGCAAAGTCTTTAAAGACATGCAGGTAGTTTTGGGCCGGAGTCAGGTTGTTCTTCCATAGCGGCGCGTTTCCACAACAGCGTGGTTGTCGGGTTCTTACATAGTTCACAAGCCATTAGTGTCAATAGACAAATGAAGTTATGAATCCCAGGTTAGTTAATCATGTCAAGTAGTAGCTGAAAAAGCCGTATCTAAAGATGTGTTTTGCCATCCAATGAGCGTGGTTTCCCTCACACGCTAAACCGGAAGTCTTGCATTTGATTTCCAACCAATATCGGTCCGTGACTATTTCTTAATATCTCTTCCTTCTCCCCTGTGTTTTCCAGGATGTGAGTTACTGGCTGCAGGTGCACAGATTGGAGCACAGTGACGGCGGCATCCTCGACCTCGACGATGTTCTCTGTGACGTGGTGGACGACAAAGACAGGGTGAGTGACACTTTGATTAGTAGAAGAAAGGGGAAAGCTCTGAAGAAGCAAAACTGAAGCTTTCGTTGTCTGCTGCTTAAGAGCTTGAGTACGGCTTTTGGTCGATACTGATGGATCCACCAACATGTATTTCTTTCTTCATTGGCACATTTGGAAAGTTGCATGTTTTCCTGCTGGTACTTCTGAATGCTGGGTCTCAGGAATGAGGGTTTGTGTTTTGTGACATGTACAATGAAGTAGGCATTGTTCTGTGCTGTTTTTGCAGGTCTAAATACAGTAGGGTTGCAACTGCATTTTCTGTTGCTATCCAAGGCAGAGGAAGTGCTTCCTGTCTGATCGGATAAGATCATTTCTTGTGTACGAGAGCATTTCTCTACCAGTCTCCCAGCTTTCATTAATAGCTGTTACTTTATCTGTGATCTGTGAAGGCCTGCAAGCGTTTACATTAGCCTTGAATATCTGAACAACATTAGTCGATCTATGTGAGTTGCTTATCTCAGACTTTTAGATGTTCCTGAGGTCTAGAAGTTAAAGGTCACCTATTATGCAAAATCCACTTGTTCACGTCTCTTCTGCATCAACATGTGTCCCCTCTTCTTCATGTCTCTTCTACATCAACATGTGTCTCCTCTTCTTCATGTCTCTTCTACATCAACATGTGTCCCCTCTTCTTCATGTCTCTTCTTCATCAACATGTGTCCCCTCTTCTTCATGTCTCTTCTACATCAACATGTGTCCCCTCTTCTTCATCTCTCTTCTACATCAACATGTGTCCCCTCTTCTTCATGTCTCTTCTACATCAACATGTGTCCCCTCTTCTTCATGTCTCTTCTTTCATCAACATGTGTCCCCTCTTCTTCATGTCTCTTCTACATCAACATGTGTCCCCTCTTCTTCATGTCTCTTCTTCATCAACATGTGTCCCCTCTTCTTCATGTCTCTTCTTCATCAACATGTGTCCCCTCTTCTTCATGTCTCTTCTTCGATCAACATGTGTCCCCTCTTCTCCATGTCTCTTCTACATCAACATGTGTCCCCTCTTCTTCATGTCCTCTTCTACATCAACATGTGTCCCCTCTTCTACATGTCTCTTCTACATCAACATGTGGTCCCCTCTTCTTCATGTCTCTTCTACATCAACATGTGTCCCCTCTTCTCCATGTCTCTTCTACATCAACATGTGTCCCCTCTTCTCCATGTCTCTTCTACATCAACATGTGTCCCCTCTTCTTCATCTCTCTTCTACATCAACATGTGTCCCCTCTTCTTCATCTCTCTTCTATATCAACATGTGTCCCCTCTTCTTCATGTCTCTTCTACATCAACATGTGTCCCCTCTTCTTCATGTCTCTTCTACATCAACATGCGTCCCCTCTTCTCCATGTCTCTTCTACATCAACATGTGTCCCCTCTTCTTCATGTCTCTTCTACATCAACATGTGTCCCCTCTTCTTCATCTCTCTTCTACATCAACATGTGTCCCCTCTTCTTCATGTCTCTTCTACATCAACATGTGTCCCCTCTTCTTCATCAACATGTGTCCCCTCTTCTTCATCTCTCTTCTACATCAACATGTGTCCCCTCTTCTTCATGTCTCTTCTACATCAACATGTGTCCCCTCTTCTTCATGTCTCTTCTACATCAACATGTGTCCCCTCTTCTCCATGTCTCTTCTACATCAACATGTGTCCCCTCTTCTTCATGTCTCTTCTACATCAACATGTGTTCCCTCTTCTTCATGTCTCTTCTACATCAGCACGTGTCCCCTCTTCTTCATGTCTCTTCTACATCAACATGTGTCCCCTCTTCTTCATGTCTCTTCTACATCAACATGTGTCCCCTCTTCTTCATGTCTCTGCTACAGCAACATGTGGTCCCCTCTTCTTCATGTCTCTTCTACATCAACATGTGTCCCCTTCTTCCTGTCTCTTTAACATCAACATGTGTCCCCTCTTCGTAATGTCTCTTCTACCTCAGCACGTGTCCCCTCTTCTTCATGTCTCTTCTACATCAACATGTGTCCCCTCTTTCTTCAATGTCTCTTCTACATCAACATGTGTCCCCCTCTTTCTTCATGTCTCTTCTACATCAACATGTGTCCCCTCTCGTTCATGTCTCTTCCACATCAACATGTGTTTCCCTCTTCTTCATGTCTCTTCCACATCACATGTGTCCCCATCTTCTTCATGTCTGCTTCTACATCAACATGTGTCCCCTCTTCTTCATGTCTCTTCTACATCAACATGTGTCCCCTCTTCTTCATGTCTCTTCTACATCAACATGTGTCCCCCTCTTCTTCATGTCTCTTCTACATCAAACATGTGTCCCCTCTTCTTCATGTCTCTTCTACATCAACATGTGTCCCCTCTTCTTCATGTCTCTTCTACATCAACATGTGTCCCCTCTTCTTAATGTCTCTTCTTCTACATCAACATGTGTCCCCTCTTCTCCATGTCTCTTCTACATCAACATGTGTCCCCTCTTCTTCATGTCTCTTCTACATCAACATGTGTTCCCCTCTTCTTCATGTCTCTTCTACATCAACACGTGTCCCCTCTTCTTCATGTCTCTTCTACATCAACATGTGTCCCCTCTTCTTCATGTCTCTTCTACATCAACATGTGTCCCCTCTTCTTCATGTCTCTTCTACATCAACATGTGTCCCCTCTTCTTCATGTCTCTTCTACATCAACATGTGTCCCCTCTTCTTCCATGTCTCTTCTACATCAACATGTGTCCCCTCTTCTTAATGTCTCTTCTACATCAGCACTGTGTCCCCTCTTCTTCATGTCTCTTCTACAATCAACATGTGTCCCCTCTCTTCATGTCTCTTCTACATCAACATGTGTCCCCTCTTCTTCATGTCTCTTCTACATCAACATGTGTCCCCTCTTCTTCATGTCTCTTCTACATCAACATGTGTCCCCTCTTCTTCATGTCTCTTCTACATCAACATGTGTCCCCTCTTCTTCATGTCTCTTCTACATCAACATGTGTCCCCTCTTCTTCATGTCTCTTCTACATCAACATGTGTCCCCTCTTCTTCATGTCTCTTCTACATCAACATGTGTCCCCTCTTCTTCATGTCTCTTCTACATCAACATGTGTCCCCTCTTCTTCATGTCTCTTCTACATCAACATGTGTCCCCTCTTCTTCATGTCTCTTCTACATCAACATGTGTCCCCCTCTTCTTCACGTCTCTTCTACAATCATGTGTCCCCTCTTCTTCATGTCTCTTCTACATCAACATGTGTCCCCTCTCTTCATGTCTCTTCTACATCAGCATGTGTCCCCTCTTCTTCATGTCTCTTCTACATCAACATGTGTCCCCTCTTCTTCATGTCTCTTCTACATCAACATGTGTCCCCTCTTCTTCATGTCTCTTCTACATCAACATGTGTCCCCTCTTCTTCATGTCTCTTCTACATCAACATGTGTCCCCTCTTCTTCATGTCTCTTCTACATCAACATGTGTCCCCTCTTCTTCATGTCTCTTCTACATCAACATGTGTCCCCTCTTCTTCATGTCTCTTCTACCATCAACATCGTCATCTCTCTTCTTCATGTGTCCCCTCTTTCTTCATGTCTCTTCTACATCAACATGTGTCCCCCTTCTTCTTCATGTCTCTTCTACATCAACATGTGTCCCCTCTTCTTCATGTCTCTTCTACATCAACATGTGTCCCCTCTTCTTCATGTCTCTTCTACATCAACATGTGTCCCCTCTTCTTCATGTCTCTTCTACATCAACATGTGTCCCCTCTTCTTCATGTCTCTTCTACATCAACATGTGTCCCCTCTTCTTCATGTCTCTTCTACATCAACATGTGTCCCCCTCTTCTTCATGTCACTTCTACATCAACATGTGTCCCCTCTTCTCCATGTCTCTTCTACATCAACATGTGTCCCCTCTTCTTCATGTCTCTTCTACATCAACATGTGTTCCCCTCTTCTTCATGTCTTCTACATCAACCTGTGTCCCCTCTTCTTCATGTTCTTCTACATCACATGTGTCCCCTCTTCTTCATGTCTCTTCTACATCAACATGTTGTCCCCTCTTCTTCATGTCTCTTCTACATCAAAATGTGTCCCCCTCTTCTTCATGTCTCTTCACATCAACATGTGTCCCCTCTTCTTCAGTCTCTTCTACATCACATGTGTCCCCCTCTTCTTCATGTCTCTTCTACATTCAACATGTGTTCCCCTCTTCTTCATGTTCTCTTCTACATCAACATGGGTCCCCTCTTCTTCATGTCTCTTCTACATCAACATGTGTCCCCTCTTCTTCATGTCTCTTCTACATCAACATGTGTCCCCTCTTCTTCATGTCTCTTCTACATCAACATGTGTCCCCTCTTCTTCACGTCTCTTCTACATCAACATGTGTCCACTCTTCTTCATGTCATTCTACATCAACATGTGTCCCCTCTTCTTCATGTCTTCTTACATCAACATGTGTCCCCTCTCTTCATGTCTCTTTACATCAAACATGTGTCCCCTCTTCTTCATGTCTCTTCTACATCAACATGTGTCCCCTCTTCTTCATGTCTCTTCTACATCAACATGTGTCCCCTCTTCTTCATGTCTCTTCTACAATCAACATGTGTCCCCTCTTCTTCATGTCTCTTCTACATCAACATGTGTCCCCTCTTCTGCATGTCTCTTATAAATTCAAACATGTGTCCCCTCTGTGGAAAGAGCCTCTGAAGTTTCAGGAACAAAGATTCTCTCTCTTTTGATCCATTTCTATAAAAACCTGTCTGAAAATGAGCTGATCAGATTTTGGCCACTTCATGATGTCATAACGATGTTTTGTCTTGTGTAACCATTAGCCAATCAGCAACCAAGGTAACCCCCCCCACCTTATCACCTGCATCTCCTCCTAGAGCACCATTGAGTTCTTGATCTGTTTGGTGTTTGGAGCCTTCACCTCAGAGACATGCTCTGTATCTGAGACCTGTAATATATTGATGAAAAACAGGATAAAATGGACCTTTTA